TCTGCGGGACATACAACACCATATTGATTTGGTGCCGGGCGCTTCGCTTCCCAACAGGCCGCATTATCGTATGAGTCCAGCTGAACACGAGGAGCTACGGCGTCAGGTAGAGGACCTGCTTCAACGAGGTGTCGTTCAACGTAGTCTTAGTCCGTGTGCTGTCCCGGCATTGCTCATTCCAAAAAAAGATCAGTCCTGGCGTATGTGTGTTGACAGTCGGGCAATTAACAAGATAACCGTGCGCTATCGGTTTCCAATTCCACGTCTCGATGATCTCTTAGACCAGTTGCACGGGGCATCGGTTTTTACTAAATTGGATTTGCGAAGTGGGTACCATCAGATTCGCATTCGACCGGGAGATGAGTGGAAGACTGCTTTCAAGATCCGGGAGGGCCTTTTTGAATGGCTGGTTATGCCCTTCGGTCTCTCTAATGCACCCAGTACATTCATGCGGGTGATGAATCAGGCCTTGCGGGATCTCATCGGGAAGTGTGTCGTCGTTTATTTCGATGACATACTTATCTATAGTCGATCTGTGGAGGAGCACCTTGACCATGTCCGCTCCGTTCTGTTGATTCTTCGTGCTGAGTCATTCTATGCGGCTCCTAAGAAGTGTTTTTTTATGGTCTCTTCAGTGTTATTCTTAGGGTTCGTTATTTCAGCTGACGGGATTCGTGTTGATGATGGTAAGATCGCTGCCATTCGTGATTGGCCGACTCCGACCTCTTTCACCGAGGCCCACAGTTTTCATGGGTTGGCATCTTTCTATAGGCGTTTCATTAGTCATTTTAGCTCCATTACGGCTCCTATTACGAGTTGTCTTAACGGGTAGACGTTCACCTGGACCCCGCAGGCTGCTGAGGCGTTTGCTCTTATCAAAGCTAAGCTGACAACGGCCCCGGTTTTGGTACTGCCTGATTTTAGTCGCCCCTTTGAGCTCTCTTGTGATGCATCCAAGGTCGGCATTGGAGCGGTGTTGAGCCAGGATTCACGTCCAGTTGCCTTCTTTAGCGAAAAGCTCTCGGGTCCTCGCCTTCGGTACAGCACCTACGATGTCGAGTTCTATGCAGTGTTTCGTGCCGTCCATTACTGGCGTCATTATCTCTTCCAGCAGGAATTTATCTTGTTCTCTGATCATGAAGCTTTACGCCATTTGGCCTCGCAGGACAATATCTCGGCCCGCCATGCAACGTGGGCATCTTATTTACAGCAGTTTACATTCGTCTTAAAACACCGTTCGGGGACGTCTAATCGTGTGGCTGATGCATTGAGCCGGCGGTCTTTGGTGCTCACGGATTTGCGAGTTTCGGTGGTGGGGTTCGATCTCCTTCTCGACCTGTACGCCTCAGACCCGTTTTTCGGTCCTATTCTCACTCAGCTAGCTTCGGGCCCTTGCGAGGATTATTTGATGGCTGACGGCTTTCTTTTTCGGGGCGTCTGTCTTTGTGTCCCCGATTGTAGTCTTCGGGTCAAGTTGGTGGCCGACCTCCACGGTTCGGGGCACGTGGGCCGTGACCGTTCTATAGCCCTGGTAAGTCGTTCTTTTTTTTGGCCATCTTTGAGGCAGGATGTTGCTCGTTTTGTTGCTCGATGTCGTGTTTGTAATGTGTCTAAGGGCGGCGCTACTAATGCCGGGCTATATCGGCCGTTACCCATTCCCTCTCAGCCATGGTGTGCTATTAGTATGGACTTCGTCCTTGGCTTACCGCGCACTCAACGTGGTCACGATTCTGTCTTTGTCTTGGTCGATCGTTTCTCTAAGATGGTGCATTTCATTCCGTGCAAACAGACCACTGATGCTGTGCATGTGGCGCACTTATTTTTTCGAGAGGTTTATCGTTTGCATGGTCTTCCGTCTTCTATTGTTTCTGATCGGGACACTCGGTTTTTGAGTTTTTTCTGGCGTAGTTTGTGGCGCCTGGCCAATACCCAGTTGGCCTTCAGTAGTGCTTATCATCCGCAGACAGACGGCTAGACAGAGGCTGTCAATCGCTCTCTCGGCAATTTATTGCGGTGTTTGGTTGGTGAAAATTTGAAGTGCTGGGACCAACGGCTTTCACAGGCCGAATTCGCACATAATTCGGTCGTGAGCCGCGCTACCGGTTTTTCACCCTTCGAGGTGGTTTATTCCGTTCGGCCACGGGGAGCCGCGGACCTGCTTGCTTTGCCGGCGACGGTGGTGCCCGATCGCAAGGCTGAGGAGCTCATGGCGGAGCTTCAGCGTACTCATGTTACGGCTCGTGCCCACTTGGAGGAGGCGACGGCGGCATACAAACGCCATGCGGACTCGCGGAGGAGGCATGTTGAGTTCGAGGTCGGGGACTTCGTGTGGGCTGTTTTGACGAAAGATCGTTTCCCCGCTCATGAGTACAACAAATTGGCGGCCCGTAAGATTGGTCCGGTGGAGATTTTAGAGAAGATCAACCCGAATGCGTATCGCTTGCGGCTTCCATCCCATATTCGTACGGCGGACGTTTTTAACGTCAAACATTTGGCTCCATTTTTAGGGGATAACTCGGACGGAGACGAGCTCGCTTCGGATTCGAGGGCGAATCCTCTTCAACCGGGGGAGGATGATGGAGACGAGCTCGCATTGGCATTTATGGACACCTACGACCGTCTTCCGGCTTTGATATGATTATTTATCCTTATTTTTATTCTATTATTTATTATGCTCTTATTCCATATCTAGTTTGTTTAGATTATTTGGGAAATAATTATTTAGTTACCTAGCAAGTTAGGGAACTTCTCTTTTATTCTCTGGCTTGTACGTTCTTTCAGTTTTAGTTTTTATGGAACAGAAATAAGAATTCTCTTGAGATTTTCATCTCGTTCCCTATTTCGTCTGCTGCGCTACATCAATACCATACCAGATAAAAAATACAAAAATGTCAAATTATTCGCCTTATTTTTATTTTATTTATTTTTGGAAACGATAGAATTTTATAGATAAAAACACGTATTTACACAAACGGAGGAGGAAACTCCCAACAGAAGATCCGAGCCCAACCTACAACACAGAAAAGCACAACACAAATCAACAACAACACCCAACACTCTAAAAACAACCCACAAAAAGGAGAAAGAAAACACAACAAAACCTAAAAATAAAAACGCCCTCCCCGCGGGGCTACACACCCACCTTCCGTACAACTCGGCAAACATTCACACGCGATTCGGACCCTAGTTCTTAAAATTCCACCTGGACTAGCAAACCTGCCCCGGCCAATGCACCACCACAGCCACTCCACGCATACTCCGGGGCCATCAAAATAATATTCTTGCTTAAATTGGATATTCTAATCCCCAATTTGCCCAATTTCGAATTTCTCTCAAAAATGTCAGAAAACTCATATGTCGTAGATCATATATACTACTATTGCGGCCAAAGAGCAGTTATTCGAACCTCTTGGACGACTGAAAATCCTGGGCGTCAATTTTGTTTGTGCATTGAGTATGAGGTAATTGATGAATCATTTTCATTTCCGTTTGGTTCCTTTTTTTTACAAAAAAACATTCATTTTCTTAATCTGTAGAGAGAAGAGTGTTAGTTCTTCTCTTAGGTAGATCCACCTATTTGTAAAAGGTCGAATAAAATTATTCCTGGATTATTGCGAAAGTCAAATGATTTGCGTGCTGAGAATGAAGAATTACGAGATAAAAACATGAGATTGGTTGAATTGAAGAAGAAACTGGAGTTAGAGAACTCGATTTGTCAAATGAAGATGAAGTCCAATAAAAAGACCAAAATTTGGATGTCGGGACTGGAATTTAGACTATTGGCCAGGGCCAAGATAGTGGGTTGTGACTCTGTTCTTCTACCTGTTCTCAAAGAACAACTGTTAGTTTAGCAATTTGTTAGGAATATGAAATGAAAATGGTAGTTTTAGTAGTTTTTGTACTCGACTTTGTTTTAGCAGTTTGTTGAAGTAGATTTGTTAGGTTTGATGAACCATGAACTTCTTTGTTGTAATTTTTATTTGTTGGAATGAATTGTCTTGTGTGTGATTCAAATTTCAAGCGTTTATGCCATGTTTATGAGACTTCAAAGTTCCTCAAATAGTTTGCATTGGCTTGTGAAATGTGCATTATTGATAATGCAACTCATAAACCATAAACATGGTAGCCATAAACCATGAACACATTAATATGCTAGCAACACACCTTAGCTTGACAACATGTTGAGCAATCAATAAACACAAAAACTGGTAGCAATAATCAATAAACACACCTTAGCTTGACAATGTGTTCAACAAGTAAAAACATAAAAAATTGCTGCCTTTGTAACATCGGCTCCTCAACAATAAATAAAGGCAAATTCATAACTAAAAACCATCTCATTAACTAGGTAAATCATATAAACCACAAATAAAGGCAATAAACCTGTTATACATAGGTCAACTATTGTACATATAAACCATCACAATAAAGGAAAATCCATAAACCACATAAACCATCAACACAAACTGGTAACGAAAATTTCTTTGCCCATAAACATGGTAGCGAAAACACCAATTACATCATATCATAATCCATTACAGAACGTGACAATCCATTACAACCATTTCAGTCCAATGCCAAAACCACCCATCACTTGTTTGGCAATGTCATAATCCAATAATCACCTAAATACATCACCTTTACAATCTATATAGCATGTTTACCATTCATAATCACCCGGGGATTTACAAAAGTAGTTTAACAAAACAAATTAGTTCCCACAAACAATATACACAAAACACAATTATTTTCCTTGTCTTGATGCCATTGAACCTTGCAGTTGCTGGTGAAGGGTAGGCCCTTTCTGATTGGCAACTCTAGGGATTTGGTACTCCTCACATAAAGGACCAAGGGACTCCAGATGAACATCATCTACTTCTGAAATGAATAAAGTCAAAAAAATATGGTTAGCAAGCATTGGTTTTTAAAGAGAAATTGATAGCAACAATGAATGAAATCAACACTTACATTTGATGATTGTCTTGTTCCAACTTTGGTCATCTTAGCCCTTTTAGCAGCTTAAGATCTTTTTCTTTCAAGCTGCATTAAAAAAATGGATCAATTACAATCACATAATGTTAACTCACATAATCTTATAATAACAAGAACATAAGTTTTAAATATTAATAAAAAAACATAACTTACAATTGTATCGAAAGCCCTCTTCAATGGGATGTTGGCCCACTTCTTGAATTAATTGGATTTGAGTGTTCATTTCTTGCTCATTTATTTTTTGACAAGTTATTGCATTGTGCCCAACAAAGCCACATTGTTTGTATCTCACAATTGGTCGTTGCCTCTTTAATTTGATTGCTACTTCTCCATTTCTTTTGAGTCTCTTCTGGCTCTCTTCTTCTTGCCTTTGAAGGCCTGCCAGCACCCTTCCCAAAGTTGAGAGGTAAAAGGTGAACAAAAAGGGTTTGTCTCCATAGTGATGGAACGAACATTTGTTCCTATAACACTCTTGTGAATAGAAGTCATCAACAAATCAGCATGCACTAAGTTCTGAGCTAGTATGGCACTACAAGCTGGCGTCAAGGGATGCCCCTAAATCTCATACCCTACAACTGCAAAGTCTTTTCTCCAAATCAACAGTAATATGTGTTCCATCATAACACTTAATCTGTTAGTGCCTATCATCACATTTAATTGGCTTGCAGTCAGATACATATGACAAGTGTTTCTAAAGGACCATGTTTAAGTTAGGTAAAATCCTGTTCTTCCAATTCAGCTCTGCCTTATCTCTTTTTTTCTACATTTTAATGCATATGTATTCTCTAATCGACTCAAGCATAGTGATAATGGGCTTTTTCCCTAGCTTCAAGAATGCTGCTGCTAAATTTTTCACACACATTATTGAGCAACATGTCACACTTTGGCAATTCAGAAAAAAAAAAATAAATAAAAAAAAAGCTTTTGACCATTGTTGTGGTGGTTTATCAAGTAACCAATTAAAAGCATCATCAGTCATTTTCTTAATCTGAAGCATCATGGCATTAAATTCACCCACAGTGGTTGCTTTTGTTGATCTCCACATAGCATGCTTGTAGGACAAACCCCTAAAACTAACCTTCAAAAAATTGTTGTGTAGACGCCTCACATAGAATCTACGAGTGGCCCTAGGGGAAGACAACATCAAAGGCTTTGAAAAGGCTCTCTGCTTATCAAAAATAAAGGTATATTGCTCAGGCCTAAAAATGCCTAAATCTATCTTCAAAATGTTGGGAAACCATCCCTATGTCTTAAAACACTCAATCTTTACTACAATAAAGGCAATGGGAAGCAAGGTGTTGTTTTGGTCTACAAGTACTGTAGTCAAGAGTATCCCTCTATGTGTAAACCTTTAAATGGCAGCCATCTACACCAACAATTGTTTACACCTAGACTTGAACCCCTCTCTCAGATAAAATTTGTGGAATCTCTCTTCACTATCAACCTTCTCAGTAGAAAGAACAACAGTTGACCTTGGGTTTGAAGTTCTCAACTCCTTTGCATAATCCCACAATTGGAAACACTGATCATCAGGTTCACCCTCAAGTTGTGCCACCCTATAGGTCTGACCCTTTGATATATTAACATTAAGGTTGGTAATAATATCAAGTCTCCCGCCTTTAACACTTCTTTTAGGATCTGTTTGAAAATGGCTTATGAACTTTTCACTTTACCACTTTGATTTGATGTTCTTAACATCAAACATTTCAACTGTATCCCCTAATTTGAAACTGGCTTGATCCTTCATTTTCATAAGGGTAATCTTCTAATTACATTCTTCATCTGCACATCTTACATACACTCTTATCCTATCATTTGTTTCTACCTTAAGGTTTCTGTTAGTTTTAACTGCATGTTACTGGATGGCTTTTCTAAATTCTTCTTTAGTACCAAACACTATCCCAATATCAAACACAAGATTCCACACTTGACTAGAATTAATAACTGGGGGCTCCACATTATCATTATCACTAGCCTTCCCTTCATCTAGATCAGAAGGAACATCAACTACATAATCATCACTATCACTACAAGAATTTGTCTCATTCCCACCACTAGCCCCTGTATCCACATTTTCACTAAACAATGCATCATCATCACTACAACTATATGAGAATTGATAATCATTATCAAGAAACTCATCATCCTCTTCATGCCCCTCTGGTTCACTATATTCATTTTCTTTTTCTTGGACATCTAAATCCTTAACAACAGACTTGCCACTCTCACTTTCACTTTCAGAACCACTACCCTTCCCACTCTCCCAACAACTACTATTTTCACTCTCAGAACCACTACCATTCCCACTCTCAGAATAACTCCCACTCTCAGAACCACTCCCACTATCACAATCAGAGTCAAAGCTAAACCATCCCCAATCCGTGGACAAACTAGAAGGAATTAACGTACTTTCATTTTCAACATACAAAGTCATTTCTCTATTGGATTTATGACATGCAGAAGATCTATGGAGCCATCGGATGGCTCCCTTATGGAGCCATCCATAACTTTATGTATTGACACGTCCAATATGTATTTATTGCGGGACACGTGTCAATACACCATTTGTGAATAACTATGGATGGCTCCATAAGCCGAGCCATCCGATCGCTCCATAGCAAAACCGACATGACATAAATCCCATATTATAATATCATCATCCCCACCCAACTTCTTGAAACTGCAACCCACCAATAAGAAGTACTTCCTACTATCAACAACCCGAAATTTGCCAGACATTTTGTTCAATTTCAACTGAGTCAAGGACCTCATATGGACAAAATCAAATATCATTTTAGACCCTCCCTTATACTGAACAAAATCTTCTCTTTCAAATTTTCCACCACACCACAAAGTTACTGTAAACAATTCACTATTAGGATCTATGGAAGACAGACCACAGAAAATAAAATCAAACAAACAAACAAAAAAACAGAAAAATGCCATTCTTCATCCTCCTGAACAAAAAACCAAACCAAATAGGGGTACAAACAATAAATAA